AGGTTGGGGGTTAATTTTACATCAAACAAATCACCATCAGGGTCTGCCGTATTATTTTCAAATGCAAGCTGGAGCTTAAACCATTGAACTTCACAGCAGCCCGTAGCTGACACATCAACAACTCGGTGCATGCAGAAAATCACGGGCTCTAACAAGCCTGGACGTGCATACATCCGCTCCCATCCATCGCAAGCACGCCTGCGCATGCTCCGAATCATGGCTCTGGCATGTCTAGATGTGTCAATAATAAGTATCACTGTGGAATATTTGCTGCTTGGTTGGCTGCTGCTTGTGTGAGTATTTGGCTCCATTAAAATTTCCTGGCTTTGCTGGGGGGAGCGGGATGGAAATAAAATTTTATTAAGGTCATGATTCAAAATGTTTACGTGTATGTGTATATTTGTGTTATCGGTTAAATTTGTAAACATGTGCATGTGTATTTCAGATTAAAATTTGTGAGCTATGCGTCTTTAGCTTTTACAGAGGTAAAGCTGTCTGTGGTTTTCACGTCCCTTAGGATATGGGTTGGGGTTAGGGTTAGGTTATCACTCTGGGGCTGCTGTGGTTTAAAAAGTTCTTTTTCCTGCATTCGAGGGCTGATTTTAAAACTCCACAAAAGCATCATTAGGCTATCATTTATTTCACAAGGCCCAAATAGGGTTTGCTTCCCAAATACAGCACAGCCTAGGGTTCTGCTAATTATTCACTTTACTTAGATTTTGATTTGAACACCCATAGAATTAGGTTTGGGGCTAATCAGACATTCTAGGGTTGACCATCACACCTTTCTTGATGATAGGGTTAGGTTCAACACATCATGTCCGATTAGGGTTATGACCTTGTGAGCGCTGCATCACGTGGGGAGGAGGGTTATGCATGTCATATCCAGGGGAGGGTTAGGGTTGTGCACGTCATATCTGGCGCGACCTGATGATGTCACTGATTAAACAAACAGATAAGCCCCCATTGAATTTAGTATATACTATTACTACTCATACTTTAAAAATCTGCACCTGTGAAGTGATGTCACCTTAAAATGTATTCTGGGTGTTCAAAAGGTAATACCTTTTTTTTTCACTCTTTGAAATTGTAGGTTATGCATAGCTAAGAAAATACCACTAAGAAGATAGACTAGAAAGCATGCAACATTCAAGATATTATATTAAAAACCACCTTTCTTTTCTTAAAAGTGTATATTTAAAGCTATATATAAATACATAAAACCTCAGCATGGCATTAGAAGCATAGAGAATGGGGGAGGGGAGTGTGTTATCATCCTTAGGGGTCAAATTAGGCATATTTTTATTGGATAGTTTGTGGATCTAACTCAGAGCAGTCATTGCATCATGGGGATGAGGAGGAAGAGTTTAATTCTCTCTCTCTCTCTCTCTCTCTCCCCCCCCTCTCTTCTCTCTCTCTCTCTCTCTCTCTCCTTTTCATAGTCCAAGAAAAATAACTTCCATAAAAATGTAACCTGCAGTTCAAAGGATGGCTCCAACAGGAACTGATGGCTGTGGTGAATAATTCAGGAAATCCATTCACCACAAACTAAACAGGAGAAAATTACTATGTCTAGCTTCAAGCAAGTGACAAATGCAAAGTACTGGGAACAAAGCTATAACAGTGAAAGGTGACCAGCTACATCTGAAGTCACCAAACTATGTACATTTGTTTGTGTATTTATTCTTTCTAGGATTTCTATGTTGCTTCAATCGTATAACTCTACGCAGCTTCCACAATTCAAAACGAATAATATTAACATAACAAAATATAACAAAAATCTAACCATGCACTATCACAGATACACCAGATGGTTGTTTTGTTTTTTCAAATCTTTCAGCAGAACAAGACTTCAGAGGCATTCCAGGAAGATATATCCTAAATTAACAGTGCAAAAGGAAACATTTCTTCTTTCCTGAAAAACGTTAGTCTTGTCTCTTTTCTCATTTGAGGACAATCCTGACATGACATCTAAGATCAAAGGACAGGCTGCCAAAGCAGATTTCGTGTGAGAAGGAGTGGGCCTATTAAGCCATTCAAATACCCTCCTCCCCAGGAACACCTTTTTTTCTATGAGACGGGATTTATGGGGGGGATTAAATGCCACTCCTTTGACCTAGTTCCTCCTTGTACAAAATTGCCACCAGTGTTCCCTCTAGGTGCACACATATGCAGCTGTGCAGTGGCTGTTGCATGCCTGTGCACAAGACTCAGTCTCCCCAAATAGCTGACCCAGAAAGTCTTTGAACCTGAAGAGAAAGCAGAGTAAGGGGTCAAGTCAGTGAGAAAAGGGATACAGATGAGAATCAAAGACTAGTGATGGTCACATGCACCGGGATGCATCTCTGCTTCCTGTTGGAACTGGAATCTGAGAGCCCACCACCTTGTGTACAACTGGAGCCTTTGATGAAGTTTTTCTCTTTGATTTGCACAAACCTAACTCCTAATTCAACAGGGCAAGCCTAGAGGAAGAATCCAGTAATTTCCCCTTGCCTGCCACTCCAGAAGCTTAGAGACTGGAAAGAAATAATTGGGATAAAGCGATGCCAGACAATGTTCCCTCTAAACTGCCCCTGCAGCTTCATTTATTGTTATATTATTAAACCACTTATTATTTATTTATCTATTGCATTTTTATCCCCTTTTTCTTAGCTCAAGGTGATATAAAGGGGGGGGGGGACTGCTCTAATTTTATCCACACAACTACACCCAAGGCCACCCAGT